AGGGGTGATATTCTATCATATTGGAGTCAGTGCATTTTTTCTCTTTTGCTTTAATTTTAATACCACACTCAATAATTCTCTTTAAATGCCCCCTTTGTATTTGATCATTTTATTTCTTAAGAAAACTTAAAATAGTTATCCATCTATTCTGTGCCTATTATATAATCCTATATAATAAAGATGCAATATGCAAATTAACCCTTACACCCTCACAAGATGGCTGCCTATGACCAGGCCAGCAGGGGGGTTAGTGAGGGACGACCAAACGACTGAACAGCAGGCTGTGTGGGGTGACCAGGCCAGCAGGGGGGTTAGTGAGGGACGACCAAACGACTGAAGAGCAGGCTGAGGGGCAACCAGGCCAGCAGGGGGTCAGTTGGGAGTGACCAAGTCAGCAGTGGGGGTGCAGTTAGGGGTGACCAGGCTGGCAGAGGAGGGCAGTGGGGGGCAACTAGGCCGGCAGGAGGGGCAGTAAGGGGTGACCAGGCCAGTGGTGGGGCAGTTAGGAGCAATCAGGCCAGCAGGAAGGGTGCAGTTGGGGGCAACCTGTCTGGCAGTGGGGGGTTGTTAGGGGTGACCAGGCTGGCGGGGGAGCAGTTAGGGATGGTGACCAGGCTGACGAGGGAGCAGTTAGGGGCGATCAGGCAGGCAGGCAGGTGAGCGATTAGGAGCCAGCAGTCCAGGATTGTGAGAGGGATGTCTGACTGTCAGTTTAGGCCCCATCCCTAGGATCGGGCCTAAACCTGCAGTCGGACATCCCCCGAGGGGTCCTGGATTGGAGAGGGTGAAGGCTGGGATGAGGGGACCCCTCCCCCCCCGCACAAATTTTGTGTACTGGGCCTCTAGTTAACAAATATTTGAAAATTGACTTAATAGCAATTTATTTTATTAAATTCAGTTTATTTATTCCACATTTCAGTGAGTACCTACTGTGTACATCAAGCATGTCAAACTCAAAGGTTAACATGGGCCAAATAAACAAGGCATGCGGCCTGCAGGCTGCAAGTTTGACATGTTTAGTGTACATGATGGGTTTATGCTGCTAGGCACTGTTAGGGCTACATAGGTGAATTCCAAGAGGCTCACTGTCATTAATAATTTCATAAGGCAAGGTTAGTACAAATAAGCCTAATTTAATGTGGATTATAATGAGGTCATAAGAAAAAGCCAAGTAAAAGGATGGGATCCTGATGAGAGAAGATTTCCTGGAGAGGTGGCACTCTGTGCTATGCCATGTCTTCAGCCGCCTGCCAGAACGCCCACCTAGAGTGGAGGGATGGCCTTTGTCCCTCTCCTCTTGGCAGCAATACCTGCTCTCTTTAGGGTGCCATCCTTTCTAAATCCTGGAATGAGCTGCAACATTTTGAGCTTCTGGAAGAAACATTCTATTAAATCCAAACAACACATAGCATTGACATATTTTTAAAATATATCTCTTTACACTTTTCCTGATTTAGTGAAGGATGATTTTGAAGATAAAGTCATTAGGTACTCAGTTGTTGTTTTTTGTTGTTGTTGTTTTTATTTTAAAAATATATTTTTATTGATTTCAGAAAGGAAGGGAGAGGGAGAGAGAGATAGAACATCAATGATGAGAGAAAATCATTGATCAGCTGCCTCCTGCATGACCCTTCCGGGGGATCCAGCCCACAACCCAGGCATGTGCCCTGACCAGGAATCGAACCGTGACCTCCTGGCTTATAGGTTGACGCTCAACCACTGAGCTACACAAGCCGGGCTAGGTACCCAGTTTTGAAGTAGATTGTCTGGCACTAGAGCAGCATCGAGTGCAGGATAATACATTATTACCGTATCATGATGGCATAGCATGAGAATTTTCATTTGCTCTACAGGTATGCCAAATGCACAGTTGAGCCAACTCATCTCCTTGATGCAAGCTCATGATGCTTATCAGCCAGTCAGTGCATGCTGGGAACCTGGGTCTGCATTAATCAGTATTTTCTCATTACCAAATACCCATGCATTCTGTGCCTACCCTGTGTTACTGGTTATTTTTATTTAACAAACAAATTCTACAAACTGAGACTATAATATTGACTCTTACCATATTTTTTCTTACATTCACTTCTTATGGTTTAAAAAAGTTGCTACCTTATATCAAGATTCTAAAATTAATTAGTTCTGAAATTGAAATAAGCACATTCATTTGCTTATTTTTCAGTATGAAAGTTTAAGTCAATTATAGAAAGATGATTTTCTAGTTTATAGTCAATGCATTTACTTTGGAACTATTGATTACTAAAAAAAAAAAAAAAAAACCCTTAAATATTTGGAAAAATGGTTTTCTTTTAAGAAATACTGCATTGTGCTCTGGTGCTTGGAGATGGCTATTTATACTTAGTTAGTAAAAAGAGTGAATATATGTATAAATGTTTGAATTCTAATACACCTTTCACTTATTTCAATGTAAAAGATAAATTAAAAAATTAAATAAGAATGAAACACAATGTAAAAATAAGATGTTATGTAGATTGTCATAGCAAAATTCCCATATAATATGTTGTTTCAAGAAGATGCATTTTTATGGGTCTGGCAATTTTGCTGAAATAGTCAATTACTCCTTTAGGTAATATATATCTGTCTCCTCTCAGAGAATAATTTGGAGTAATTATATGTATGGTAATTTTAACTTTTCCAAGGACAAAAATTGCTAAAATATCAAAAGGACCCTAAAGACCTGATTTAGATACTCTATCTTGTGCTGATAAGAAAATTCACCCAATTCATTTGTGGATGCTATAGAGCTCAGGTTGGGGTCAGGGTGGGGTGGAATATATAGGGTGGGGCAAAAGTAAGTTTACAGTTGTTTGTCTGGAAAATAATACAATAATTAATAAGTAATAATGCAAGAATAAACTCTGTGTTTCTTGTACTCACAACGGTAAACCTATTTTTGTACCTATAGGTCTTGTGTCTACATTGTGATACTATTAATTCACATGACAGGCATTTGACAAATTTTACTGTTTTACACCAGATTAGTTTTGGGAGATACCTTAATGAATTAGGCAAAATCTCAGTCTTTATTTGACTGATGGGCCAATTTTGTGTATAATGCATTATATGGTATCTTCTTATCCAAAATGAACATATTAGGACCATGTGCTGGCCTAAACAGCATTCAAAGTCCATCTCTATGATATCTGCTTGCTTCTGTGTTGAGCAGTGTAGATGAGAAAGGTAGGAGAAATGTGATAGAAAATTTAAAACACATTTATAGAGGTACATTTCCATTCTTCTCAGTCAAAAGTAAAAACACAGTAACTCTGCATGAACAACTTCATTTATGATCTAGAAGATAGCAAACAGCTTGTTAATTAATTAAAAAAATGATTCTAAGTTGAGACGTGCCACAAACATCAACAAGGACAGAGAAATGATGCCATAAAAGGAAAGAAGAGAAAAAGTAAAATTGAGTCTGGAAAGAAGCAGCAAGTATCCATGAAGTTAGCTCTGCACTCCCTCTTGCAGAAGTGTTAATTATCAAATGTATCTAATTAATCCCAGTAATATCTGTATGGTAGAGAAACACATATTGAGTAATGGAGATACTAAATGATAGCTTCATTTGCCTGTCTTTAGGAAAATAAATAGATTGAGAAGAAAAGAAAGACCTGCATATCAAGGCACCCAACTAATTAAATAAGATAATCATGCTAAATAAAATACATAATTCAACAAAAATTAATGGGGTAAGGAGATCTTCTGCACAATAGGAATATTTAAAAGACTCAGCCTTTCTCCTTATGAAAGATACAAATCAGCCTCTGTATCCCTACTGTGGACAGCCTGTGGGTAGGACATCAATTTCCTGTCTATGCATGGGAGTGGAATCTCATCCTGTTATGACCTGAGAGGAAACCTGGGTTTGACATAGTTTGGAAAATATAAGGGAATATGGTGTTTTGGTTGTTTTGTTGTCATATTCCTGGCTCCTCTGTCCATCCCTCAAGCCCCAGAGTGCTGAGCAGCTGGCTCTGCAGCTGTAAGAAAGTCTGGGACAATCTTCCTATGGGGTACACATAAATCTTGCCAAACTGAAACAGAGAAAACTTTTTGCTTGTTTTTGTGTGTGTTTTTTTTTCATTTCCAGGTTCTTGATATAATTGAAAAAACTGTATCATGTAAAGTATTTTCCCCTTCTTCAGTGGTCTGTGTTCTTTGCCCTTTTCTTTCAAGTTTCAGGGAGAGACTTTTAGGTTTCTAAAATAATAATTTAAATAAACATTTTTCTTTCATCATCCTTGCAATAGAAACTGTAAAATTGGTTTCTTCATCTCCCACAAAAGATTGAATTCATACTAATGGGCTCAGAAAGGCTGGTAGCAAGCTGTCTTGCCAGCTACAACCCTGCTGCCCTCAGCAGCTGGAACCACACTTAGGCAAGATGATGCTAGTTAACTCTGATGACCTTGACCCAACACCTATCTACCTACTTGGACTTGCTCACACATGCCTCACTCCTGGGAGTAGGCATTCCAAACTCATACAGATCAGATGCAAACTCTGAAATCTGATCTAATTCCTACCGTGGTGGGGCATAACTTAAATATACCATCACACAAGAAAATAGCTATGAAAGAATAAGTACAATTCAAAACTGGGGAAATGTGCCACATTATCAATCATCTGATTCTCAAAATTACTTAAACAGATGGAGTTCTGTGTGAATGACCTTTTCCTAGACAAGAAGATAATCCAGTGGGAAATCAATACCCATTTAACTTTGCCTACATTACTCATACTCGGATTGTTTATTGCTGAATTGAGTCTAATGTAATGATATCTACCCATTGAATGGTAATTAGATCTTCAAGAAGAACTAGTGATGATATTTAAGACTCTAAGAAAGAACATGGCAATGGTTCATCCTGCATTAAATATTTTTCTTGACTGGTCTTGTTGAGTCTAATCATGTGAAGAATGAATGCAGATGCAGGCATGGCTAAAGCTCTAATGTTGTTATTCTGCTCTGCCAGGTGCATTGTAGAAGACAAGAACTCAAAAGTGGCCTGGCTGAACCGTTCTGGCATCATTTTTGCTGGGCATGACAAGTGGTCTCTGGACCCCCGGGTGGAGCTGGAGAAACGCCATTCTCTGGAATACAGTCTTCGAATCCAGAAGGTGGATGTCTATGATGAGGGTTCCTACACTTGCTCGGTTCAGACACAGCATGAGCCCAAGACCTCCCAAGTTTACTTGATTGTGCAAGGTAAGAAAATGATAGGATAGGTGAGGTGCGGGGCACTGAATAATCATGATGTACAAAATACTTGCATAATACTTTCTAAAAATAGAAAAGGAAGACTTTTAAATGTATTATGGCACTTAAGTATCTGTTTTTTCTCTAAAAGGATAGACTTATAATGAGAAGACTAAGGAGAATATAGAGTTGAGTCTTGCCACTGTGAGCCAGTACCCTTGGTGAGAATCTTTTCTCCTAGCCCTCAGTGTGAAAATACACAGCAAAGGCTGCAACCATTGGAATAAGATGAAACAGGAACACAAGAACACACACATGCTTAGAACCATGTGAAATCCACTTTTTCATGCTGTTGAGCACTGCATACTTTGCTGAAGGTTTGATTTTTACCTGTCCCCAGCCTAAATAATATCCCTAACTATCTGTTTTCATGATAGCAAATGTTGTTTGGAAAAATAAAAGTTTCCAGAGGCCTTGACATCCTCTCCGCTGGCCAGCTTTCTATGTAGTTTGTGTCTCCATCTAATGGCAAGTTATTTATGAGCAAATCCAGTGACAAGGATCTGCAAAGTCATTAGGGAAAATCTGCTTCTAGATTGGGGTTTCCAAGGACACATCTGAGTCATGGTTTTATAGGATGAAAACCCTAAATGGCATACACATGCTCCCAAACTATAGCTCTCTAGGGTCCTGTTCCCCATAACTGCAGAATGAGAACAAAGCTGATCAGCTGCACAATTTTATTGCAAGCGAAGTCAAACCACCAGCAATTTCAATCTATCTAACAAGATCTAAACACTAACAAATATTAGGGCTGTGTTCATGTATTCTTGATTTACAATTTTATGTAAATTTAATGCAAATTAGGCATGGCCCTCAGGGCTCCTGTCAAGATTCCAATGCAGTCAGTGGTGTGGCAAAGTTTGACTGTAGCTTCTATTAATGTGTATGGAATTGATTACTGCAACATTTAAATTATTGCTCTTCCAACTACTCTGATTAATAGGTTGAAACTGGAGTAAAATACATCAGAGGCTGCCTGGTGCAGGGGTGGTTTAGTCATGTGACCTCCATCTTGGTCCATTTGCAATGGCTGACAGCTTCATTTTATTGCTTTTAAAAGGCATGTCTACTGACTTGCAAAGTTCCTTTCACAATCAAAGCAGAGAATACTTTCCATTTAGTTTAATAGAAAGTACTTGAGGTACAATAATAAGAGACACCAGGGCTTGGATCTCAGGCAGCCCATTTAAAATTTGTAAATATAACTAGAGAATTGTAAATATGTAAATTTAACATTTCCCTCATAAACACACTCTCTCTATGACACATGCACACAGACACACACACACACACATATGCACGCACACATGCACATGCATACCTCAAACCAAAGTTCTACCGCATTGAATAGCAGACAAAGGGGAGGTAACTAGTATATTTAAGGTCCATTATAAAACTAGATGCCCGGTGCATGAAATTCGTGCATGGGGGGGTGGCGCCCTCAGCCCAGCCTGCACCCTCTCCAATCTGGGACCCCTCAGGGGATGTCTCACTGCTGGTTTAGGCCCGGTCCTGGGGATCGGGTCTAAACCAGAAGTCGGACATCCCTCTCACAATCTGGGACCACTGGCTCCTAATTGCTCACTTGCCTGCCAGCCTGGTTGCCCCCAAATGCCCTCCCCCCTGTCGACCTGGTCACCCCTCACTGCCCCCTCTGCCAGCCTGGTTGCCCCCACCTGCCCCCCGTGC